AGGAGGGAGTGGAGGAAGTACAGAAGACAAAGGACAGAGGACAACAGGATTAGATGTAACAAAGCTAGGAATGATTACGTTAACATAAAACGAGTGTCGGAAAGAAATTATGAGAATGATATTGCAGTCAAAGCGAAAAAGCAACCTAAATTACTACATAGCCATATAAGAAGGAAGATGTCGGTAAATGACCAAGTGACAAGACTGAGGAAAACAGAAGGGGCATGTACAGAAAGCGAAAAGGAAATCTGCGAGGTACTGAATGCAAATTTCCATGGAGTGTTCACAACCGACCCTGAGCAGCTCCCATTGTTAGAAGCGATTACCCTAGATGAAAGACTATCAGATATACAGGTGACAGCAGAGGATGTAATGAAACAGTTGACAACACTGGATGCAAATAAAGCTGTTGGACCAGACAAAGTATCACCGTGGATACTTAAAGAGGCAGCGCAGGCTCTCAGCGTGCCTCTGGCAATGATCTTTAATGAGTCACTTATGTCGGGAGAATTGCCCAGTTGCGGAAGGAGGCAAATGTCGTACCAATTTTCAAGAAAGGTGATAGGGAGGAGGCACTTAACTACAGACCCGTATCACTGACAAGCATCCCCTGCAAAATACTTGAAAGAATAATTAGGCTAAGACTTGTTGAGCACCTGGAGAGCATTGGGTTTGTAAACAAGCATCAACATGGGTTCTGGACAGGGAAATCATGCCTAACAAACCTTTTTGAATTCTATGATAAAGTAACAAGGATAAGGCAGGACAGAGAAGGCTGGGCAGACTGCATATTTCTTGACTGCCAAAAGGCCTTTGATACAGTACCGCACATGAGACTGCTATACAAACTTGAGAGGCAGGCAGGAGTAAGCGGAAAGGCCCTAGTATGGGTGAAGAACTACCTAACAGGAAGGAGCCAGAGGGTAATGGTAAGGGGCGAGAAGTCGGACTGGCGAACAGTAACAAGTGGAGTACCTCAAGGATCGGTGCTGGGACCAATTCTCTATCTAATTTACGTAAATATGTTTACAGGAGTGGAATCATACATGTCAATGTTTGCGGATGACGCAAAATTAATGAGAAGAGTTGTGACAGACGAGTGTTGACCTGACCTCTACTGACTTGTGTTGACCTGACCTCTACTGGCGTGAGTTGACCTGACCTCTACTGGCGTGAGTTGACCTGACCTCTACTGGCTTGTGTTGACCTGACCTCTACTGACTTGTGTTGACCTGACCTCTACTGGCGTGAGTTGACCTGACCTCTACTGGCGTGAGTTGACCTGACCTCTACTGGCTTGTGTTGACCTGACCTCTACTGGCTTGTGTTGACCTGACCTTTACTGGCGTGAGTTGACCTGACCTCTACTGGCTTGTGTTGACCTGACCTCTACTGACTTGTGTTGACCTGACCTCTACTGGCTTGTGTTGACCTGACCTCTACTGGCGTGAGTTGACCTGACCTCTACTGGCTTGTGTTGACCTGACCTCTACTGACTTGTGTTGACCTGACCTTTACTGGCTTGTGTTGACCTGACCTCTACTGGCGTGAGTTGACCTGACCTCTACTGGCTTGTGTTGACCTGACCTCTACTGGCTTGTGTTGACCTGACCTCTACTGACTTGTGTTGACCTGACCTCTACTGACTTGTGTTGACTTGACCTCTACTGGCGTGAGTTGACCTGACCTCTACTGGCTTGTGTTGACCTGACCTCTACTGGCTTGTGTTGACCTGACCTCTACTGGCTTGTGTTGACCTGACCTCTACTGACTTGTGTTGACCTGACCTCTACTGACTTGTGTTGACCTGACCTCTACTGGCGTGAGTTGACCTGACCTCTACTGGCTTGTGTTGACCTGACCTCTACTGGCTTGTGATGACCTGACCTCTACTGGCTTGTGTTGACCTGACCTCTACTGGCTTGTGTTGACCTGACCTCTACTGGCTTGTGTTGACAGGATAGTGCAAGACTAACCTGATATGATCGTATATTGAACAAAGTTTGCTAATATGATCATAACTAACCTGAAATGACCGTAATTGGCTTAAATTAGCCTTGAACAAATGAACGCATTCGTCCTAATTTTACCAGAACTGATCTGATTTATTCTGATTTAACTCGAATTGATCTGAACTAATCTAACTATACCTAAACCGGTTTGGTTTGAATTAATCTAAAAATATACGAATTCGTCTGAATTAATCTATTTTGCCTTTAACTTAAGTGGAATGACATCACTTTGTCTAAACTGACCTGAAATTTGATAAATTGTTCAGATTTGATCTAGATAAAACCTATTTCCTAGGAATTGAGCAGAAAGCCACCAAAGATGTGTTGATTTAACTAAACTGATCTACACTGACGTAGACTGATTTTAATTAACGTCCCGGTGGGCATAATATCCAGATTAATGCTGGATTAATTTTGGTTGATCAACTTTACTGGTGAGTATTTTCCCCACTGGGGTGAGTCGTACTGACCTGACCTGCAGCCATGGATCACCTCGTTAACGACCCCCCCCCCCGGAAGATTAATGGTCTGCCCTGAATAATATTCAACTATACATCATTAATTTTGGTTATAGACTGTCGTCTTGGGGGCCATTTAGACGTGGCACACCTCTCCCCGCCCCCCCCCAGAACCCCCCTCTAGACCCCTTTCCAGACCCCCCCTCCACACCCCCCTCCACACCCCCTCCACACCCCCCCCCTCCACACCCCCCCCCCTCCACACCCCCGTCCATACCCGTTCCTACCCTCTACCCACACCACAAACCCCATCACCCCCCCCTACACGACACCCCGCCCCCTCCCACATTCACAAACAGAATGGGGACCGATTGAGCCGGACTTAACAAAAGGAGTAAACAAAGCGGGTTCTATACGTACCTGCGTGGGAGACTAAAGCTGCATGACACACGTATTGAACAGACGCATGAGGCAACGAGACAAGATAAATAACATTCAACATACGTAAAGATGTGAACACCATTATCCGCAGGTCAGCATGTAGGCGGCGTGTCGTAAAATCCTGGTTGGGCACAGCTCGGGGCCTTCAGAACCTTCTAGTGAATTCAGTAGAGTTCAAGGTTGATGCGATTTTCGTCCAGTCGTGGCCGAGTGTGTTAAGGCAGGTCTCTAGGACTCACCAGAACGCCTGTTCCAGTCACCTTATTGTCAGAAATTTTTTTTGTCACATTCAGACTGGCAGCACATTCATTGTGTAAATGTTGGGGCTAGTGTAAATGTTGGAGCTAGTGTAAATGTTGGGGCTAGTGTAAATGTTGGGGCTAGTGTAAATGTTGGGCTAGTGTAAATGTTGGGGCTGGTGTAAATGTTGGGGCTAGTGTAAATGTTGGGCTAGTGTAAATGTTGGGGCTAGTGTAAATGTTGGGGCTAGTGTAAATGTTGGGGCTGGTGTAAATGTTGGGGCTGGTGTAAATGTTGGGGCTAGTGTAAATGTTGGGGCTGGTGTAAATGTTGGGGCTAGTGTAAATGTTGGGGCTGGTGTAAATGTTGGGGGCTGGTGTAAATGTTGGGGGCTGGTGTAAATGTTGGGGCTGGTGTAAATGTTGGGGCTAGTGTAAATGTTGGGGCTGGTGTAAATGTTGGGGGCTGGTGTAAATGTTGGGGGCTGGTGTAAATGTTGGGGGCTGGTGTAAATGTTGGGGGCTGGTGTAAATGTTGGGGCTGGTGTAAATATTGGGGGCTGGTGTAATGTTGGGACTGGTGTAAATGTTGGGGCTATTAGGGCTAACATTAATAACAATAGTAGGTCCAAGAGACCCAACAAGCGAGAAGGGCTATTCAGTTTCAACAATAAGAAGATCGACTGGGAAAAACTTAATATAGACCTTGCAAACATTCAATGGGAGACGGTCTTAAGCGACAAAACTCCCACACAGGGAATAGCTCAACTAACAGCTGAAGCTTACATGGTCTGCTTGAAGCACGTGCCTGTGAGGAGGGGCAGAAAGAGGACCACTCTAGAAAGTGAACGCAGACGACTGTACAGAAGGAAAAAATCACGAAAATACTTAAGCAGACACAACTATCACAAGAAAGGAAAATAAATCTAAACAGGGAGATCGAAGAAATAGAGCAGACGTTGAAGCGATCATACGAGTCTGAGGAAATGGAATTGGAACAGAACGCAATACAAGATATAAAGAAAAATCCAAAATATCTGTTCACATACGCAAAATTAAAATAAAAAAAATCCACCAGTATTGGACTTTTAATTACAACTGAAGGTACGTACACAGAACAATAAAGAAATTAGTGACATTCTATGGAGCCAGTATGAGGCTATGTTTAGCACCCCTACAAACAACATGAAAGTTGATGATCCAGACAGCTTATTTATAAGTGACATCCAAGCTGCAGATAATATAACGGATATTAACACGAATTCGGAAGAATTTGAAAGAGAAATTGACAATATGCCCATGCACTCAGCCCCCTGGTCCTGACTCATGGAGTTCAATGTTCATCAAGAAATGTAAAGTGCCAGTAGCGCGAGCACTCAGCGTAATATGGAGAAAGAGCCTGGATACTGGGCAGATACCAGCAGCACTTAAATCTGCAGATATAGTTCCTTTGCACAAGGCGGGTAGTAAAGCTTAGGCAAAGAATTGTAGACCAGTTGCACCAACATCACATATAATAAAAGTGTTTGAAAGAGTGATTAGGGATCAAATTTCTAGTTTTATGGAAAATGATGAACTACACAACCCAAGACAACATGGATGTAGAGCGGGAAGTTGACAGACAACTGTGTCTGTCACAGTTACTCAACCACTATGACAAAATCACAGAAGCCTTAGAAGAACAGCAAAATGCAGATGTTGTATTCAGACTTTGCAAAGGCATTCGACAAATGTGTCCATGGAGTGATAGCACATAAAATTAAATCAACAAGAATAACGGGTAAAGTGGGGCGGTGGATTTTCAACTTTCTTTCAAACAGAATGCAGAGAGTGACGGTCAATCAAGTAAGATGAAGCCCAAGTACAGTGAAAAGCTCTGTACACCAGGGCACAGTCCTGGTCCCGCGGCTATTTCTCCTTATTTCGGATTTAGACAAAAATAATAGTCACAGCTTCGTGTCATCCTTTGCAGATGAAACAAAAATCAGCATGAAAATTTCCTCTGTAGAAGACACTGAAAAACTGTAGGCAGATATTAATAAGCCCTTGAATTGGGCAACAGACAATAATATGATGTTTAACGGTGACAAGTTGCAGATATTTAGGTATAGTGGAAACGAGGAAGCTAAACGAAACACAGGATACAGGACACAATCAAACATAATAATAGAAGGAAAGCAACACGTAAAAGATCTGAGAATTATGATGTCTGACAACCTGATATTTAGTGAACATAACCGAGCAAATATAGCGGCGGCGGCCAGGAAAATGATAGGACGGATTACGAGAACGTTCAAATCCAGAGTCCCCACAGCAATGCTAATACTATTTAAATCACTGGTGCTGTCCCGTCTTGAGTACTGCTCGGTACTCACTTCCCCTCACAGAGTGGGAGAGATCTCTGAATCAGAGGGGAATACAGAGAATATATACGGCACTCATAGACACGATAACACACCTGATAACAACATTGCTGGATTTAGAGGGAGATATTCTTAACATATTGGATTGTTATTGAGACGTTTACGTTGGTGAGAGGAGAACAGTGACCTGCTGTGATGTAACTTGTCAGTGTTAAGAAAAGAGATAATTTACAGTGTTGTCACGTGTATTTTGACAGCTTTGGCTTACGACTTTGCCTGGTGTAAAATGTTCGAGCTAGAGTAAATGCTGTAGCTAGAGTAAATGCTGTAGCTAGTGTAAATGCTGTAGCTAGTGTAAATGCTGTAGCTAGTGTAAATGCTGTAGCTAGTGTAAATGTTGGAGCTAGTGTAAATGTTGGAGCTAGTGTAAATGTTGGAGCTAGTGTAAATGCTGGAGCTAGTGTAAATGTTGGAGCTAGTGTAAATGCTGGAGCTAGTGTAAATGCTGGAGCTAGTGTAAATGCTGGAGCTAGTGTAAATGTTGGAGCTAGTGTAAATGCTGGAGCTAGTGTAAATGTTGGAGCTAGTGTAAATGTTGGAGCTAGTGTAAATGTTGGAGCTAGTGTAAATGTTGGAGCTAGTGTAAATGTTGGAGCTAGTGTAAATGCTGGAGCTAGTGTAAATGTTGGAGCTAGTGTAAATGTTGGAGCTAGTGTAAATGTTGGAGCTAGTGTAAATGTTGGAGCTAGTGTAAATGCTGGAGCTAGTGTAAATGTTGGAGCTAGTGTAAATGCTGGAGCTAGTGTAAATGTTGGGACTGGTGTAAACAGCCAATAACAACATACAAATATGTCACACTTGATAGTGTGTGAGCATTTTTAAATTTGACTGAATATGCAGATCAGAGTTAGGTGAAAAAAATTGTTTCATGAATTTACTTTAGAAAATAATTATATATATCATGTTTGCCCTCTCTCGGAAAAATGCAAAACACGACGCGTCATTTAATACAGTTATTTACTGTACATGCAGATAAATGCAAAATAAATATGTTAGTAAAATATTATTTTAAATTCAGTTTAATTGTTTTCAGTTAAATTGAATGAAAAATTTTGTAAAATTTAATATGGTGTAAAGTAGTAAGTTATTCAGCTGTATTGTGAGTTATTCTGAGAGTCTGATTAGCCGGCCACTCAGAGAGGTTGACCTACTGGCCACTCAGAGAGGTTCACCTACTGGCCACTCAGAGAGGTTGACCTACTGGCCACTCAGAGAGCTTGACCTACTGGCCACTCAGAGAGCTTGACCTACTGGCCACTCAGAGAGCTTGACCTACTGGCCAATCAGAGAGCTTGACCTACTGGCCACTTTGTGAAACTGTGTATGGAGTCAGCCTCCACCACATCACTGCCTAATGCATTCCATTTGTCAACCACTCTGACACTAAAAAAGTTCTTTCTAATATCTCTGTGGCTCATTTGGGCACTCAGTTTCCACCTGTGTCCCCTAGTGCGTGTGCCCCTTATGTTAAATAGCCTGTCTTTATCTACTCTGTCAATTCCTGAGAATCTTGTACGTGATGATCATGTCCCCCTAACTCTTCTGTCTTCCAGCGACGTGAGGTTTAATTCCTATAGTCTCTACTCGTAGGTCATACCTTTCAGCCCGGGTACTAGTCTGGTGGCAAACCTTTGAACCTTTTCCAGTTTAGTCTTATGCTTGACTAGATATGGACTCCATGCTGGGGCTGCATACTCCAGGATTGGTCTGACATAGGTGGTATACAAAGTTCTGAATGATTCCTTACACAAGTGTCTAAATGCTGTTCTTATGTTGGCCAGCCTGGCATATGCTCCTGATGTTATCCTCTTGATATGGGCTTCAGGGGTCTGGCGTGATATCAACCCCCAGGTCTTTTTCTCTCTCTGACTCTTGAAGAATTTCATCTCCCAAAAGATGCCTTGTAACTGGCCTCCTGCTCCCTACACCTATCTTCATTACATTACATTTGCTTGGGCTTAACTCTAACAACCATTTGTTCGACCATTCCTGCAGCTTGTCCAGGTCTTCTTGAAGTCTAAAGCAGTCCTCCTCTGTCTTAATCCTTCTCAGAATTTTGGCGTCGTCAGCAAACATTGAGAGAAATGAGTCTATACCTCTGGAAGATCGTTTACGTATATCAGAAACAAGATAGGACCGAATACAGAGCCCTGTGGGACTCCACTGGTGACTTCACGCCAATCTGAGGTCTCACCCCTCACTGTAACTCTTTGCTTCCTATTGCTTAGATATTCCCTTATCCACTGGAGCACTTTAGCAGTTACTCCTGCCTGTCTCTCCAGCTTATGTACCAGCCTCTTATGGGGGACTGTGTCAAAGGCTTTCCGACAGTCCAAAAATATGCAGTCCGTCCAGCCTTCTCTTTCTTGTTTAATCTTTGTCACCTGGTCGCAGAATTCTATTAAGCCTGTAAGGCAAGATTTACCCTCCCTGAACCCATGTTGATGGGTTGTCACGAAGTCTCTTCTCTCCAGATGTGTTACGAGATTTTTTCTCACGATCTTCTCCATCACCTTGCATGGTATACAAGTCAAGGACACTGGCCTGTAGTTCAGTGCTTCTTGTCTGTTACTCTTTTTGTATATTGGGACCACATTAGCCGTCTTCCATATTTCTGGTAGGTCTCCCGTCTCCAGTGACCTACTATACACTATGGAGAGTGGCAAGCAAAGTGCTCCTGCACACTCTTTCGATACCCATGGTGAGATCCCGTCTGGACCAACAGCCTTTCTCACATCCAGATCCAACAGGTTCCCTATTACAATCTTGACCTCATCTCTCGTAATTTCGAACCCTTCCAAGGCCGCGTGGTTTACTGCCCCATCTCCTAGCGCAGTGACCTCATCTTGTTCTATTGTGGAGACCTCCTGGAACCTCTTGTTGAGTTCTTCACACACCTCTTTGTTATGCTCTGTGTACCTGTCCTCGCCTTTTCTAAGTTTCATCACCTGTTCTTTCATCGTTGTTCTTCTCCTGATGTGACTGTGTAGTAGCTTTGGTTCGGTCTTGGCTTTATTAGCTATATCATTTTCATAGTTTTTCTCAGCTTCTCTTCTCACACTAACATACTTGTTCCAGGTTCTCTGGTATCTCTCTGCTTTCTGGTGTTCTGTTATTTCGGAAGTTCCTCCACGCCCTTTTGTTCAGTTCCTTTGCTTCCATACATGCCCTATTATACCATGGAGTCTTCTTTTGCTTCTGTTTTTTTTTTTCCTGTCGGGCCGGGATAAACCTGTTTACTGCCACCTGACACTTTTGAGTGACATAGTCCATCAAGTCTTGTACAGACTTAGTTCTGAGTTCTGTGTCCCATGGTATATCCCTTAGGAAACTTCTCATCTCCTCATAATTCCCCTTTCGGTATGCCAGCCTTTTATTTCCTAATTCTTATTTTGGGGATATAAGTCCTAGCACTACCAGGTACTCAAAGATCAACACACTGTGGTCACTCATTCCCAAGGGCGCATCCATATATTAACTTCCCTTATATCCTTATATGTGCATGTGTATGTGTGTGTGTGTGTGTGTGTGTGTGTGTGTGTGTGTGTGTGTGTGTGTGTGTGTGTGTGTGTGTGTGTGTGTGTGTGTGTGTGTGTGTGTGTGTGTGTGTGTGTGTGCGTGCGTGTGTGTGTGTGTGTGTGTGTATTCACCTAGTTGTGCTTGCTGGGGTTGAACTCTGCTCTATCGGCCCACCTCTCAACTGTCAATCAATCAACTGTTACTAACTAATTCTACCCCCCCCCCCCCCCCCCACCACCACACACACACAGGAACAGCTGTGTAACTTTCAGGTACCTATTTGCCGCTAGGTAACAGGGGCATCAGAGTGAAATAAACTGCTCATTTTGTTTCTCGCCGGCGCCGGGAATCGAACCCCGGATCCACAGGTTTACGTGCCCAGCGTACTGTCCACTCAGCCACCAGCGCCCCCAGTGTGGGTGTATATAGGTCAGAGAGATGCGGGCAGGACTTTACAAGAGCTGCAGTGGGTGTAATAGGGAACATTACCCCAGAGATTATGTGTTTTAAGGAGAATTGGGAGTGTGGCGGGAGGACCCACGGGAGGAGGCTTCCCGGCATCTTAACAAAGGCTTCCATACCATTAGCAGACAACAAACGGTGTAATGGACCAACACAATGGGTAACTATTACCTGAGATTGCTTTACCTCGTTACACTTGTCTAACGATTGTTAAACTCAAAGCGGTGGATAGTTAGTCTAACTTACAGGAGTACCGGATCGTAACTTACAAACTCCGTGTAAGTCTAGTATGGTATTTCTGCTCCAGATACTGCTAGCCCCGTCGTGGTGGTGTTGGTAGTGCGTGTGTCTCATGCGATCAAAAGACGCGGGTTCGAAGCCGTTGTATAACCTCAATCCTTACTGTCGTGTTCTGCGTGTTATAAAAACTCCTTCATTATCTTTCTGAAACTTCAGTCATATTCTCTTTCCTTTTTCAGCTCATTAACGAGTCAAGTTGGAATTCTTGAAGAGTTCCTTCCCAGGAAGTGTTCCGGGAAGGTGAGTGTGTGAGTGTGTGAGTGTGTGTGAGTGTGTGAGTGTGTGAGTGTGTGAGTGTGTGTGAGTGTGTGAGTGTGTGTGAGTGTGTGAGTGTGTGAGTGTGTGAGTGTGTGTGAGTGTGTGAGTGTGTGAGTGTGTGAGTGTGTTTACTGGTTGTGTTTTTACGGGGGTTGAGCTTTGCTCTTTCGGCCCGCCTCTCAACTGTCAATCAACTGTTTGCTAACTAATTTTTTTTTTTCCACACCACACACACACACACACACACACACCCCAGGAAGCAGCCCGTGACAGCTGACTAACTCCCAGGTACCTATTTACTGCTAGGTAAGAGGGGCATTCAGGGCGAAAGAAACTTTGCCCATTGGTTTCTGCCTCGTGCGGGAATCGAACCCGTGCCACAGAATTACGAATCCTGCGCGCTATCCACCAGGCTACGAGGCCCCTCAGTGTGTGTGAGTGTGAGTGTGTGAGTGTGTGAGTGTGTGTGTGTGTGTGTGTGTGTGTGAGTGTGTGAGTGTGAGAGAGTATGTGTGTGTGTGTGAGTGTGCTGTGTGTGCTTGCAAGCTTCCCTTGCAACCCTGTCCTCGTCTCTGATGCAGTTCGGAGACAAGTATTTACAAACTCTCCCTTGACGGACACCACTTAGCGAGGACCTGACACTTAACGAACACCCACTTTAACACTTATCCATTTAAGCGTTGCGTTGTCTTGTGAAACCCTCCGTTTTCTTGTACCTAAACCATTCTTGATGACGTCAGATGTTCAGTTCCCAACTTCTTAAAAAAACGTCTTAGAAGTCTAGATAAAGATGTCCCGCTGGGACTGTGTAATCCCAGGTGTTGAGATTGTGTTAAATATGTCCCGAAATTTTGTGTAGTGGGATTTGTTCCATGGGTAATCACCCCCTGCTGCTGCCGCCCTGTCTGCAAGTTGGGATTTTCAGATTTTTGTCTACATTTAGAATAAGGCGACTTTGAGAGGATTGGAACTTTTCGAGAGATCAAAGTTTGGGGACTTTCGCAGCCACGTTCCCTGTCCCCTGTCATACAGGTCTCCACCCATCACCTGTCACAGTGGTCACCACCCATCACCTGTCACAGTGGTCGCCACCCATCACCTGTCACAGTGGTCACCACCCATCACCTATCACAGAGGTCACCACCCATCACCTGTCACAGTGGTCACCACCCATCACCTGTCACACAGGTCTCCACCCATCACCTGTCACAGTGGTCACCACCCATCACCTGTCACAG